GAAAGACAAATGAAAAGTAGGGGTCCTGCCTGAAAGAAAGGAAAAGAGCCAAGGAAGAGATGTGTGCCAGTCCATTCTCTGCATGGGCAGCTAGGTTGCTAGACGTAATGACCTGGCAGGGGAAATAATCTCCAGGAGGCAAGAAGAGGAGAGACTTTGCTACCAAACTTTGGTGTACATGGAATATTTGTGTTTTGAGGGCTGTGATTGTATGATGCAATATTATTATTAAAATAGATATCAAAACTTGCAGGAAACCTAGTCATGGATGTGCAATAATTAAAATGGTTATAGAAGTTAAGGCACACTGATTACAGGAACATATCTGTTATAGATTTTCCCTCTCTATCTCAAAGACAGATTTCCAATTTTTATGCTATCTCACATCAAGAGAACCTTGACTCACAATGTATTTAGTCAATTTCACATTCTTTTTCTCTGGAGGGATGGAGACGGGAGTGCGTTTCTCTTTCTCATCCTGTGTCAATCCACTGTATGACCATGACATGAGAATGTGGCCTCATCTCACCACTTCCAGCAGGGTTGGCTAATTTAAACAGATGGGTTTGGGGTAAGTCTCCATACCGTGCCGGATACTACAGTCTGGGAGCACAGGAAATGAACAAAGCTTTCAGCTGAAAACACTCAGTTCCCCAAATTGCAGGTCAGATACTCACTAATGGAAGATGACCAACTGGGCTTCTGTGATCAAAAGGAAACGAACTATCTTCAAAGTTATCAAAGCCCAACCAGATGTTCAGCTTCAGATAGGACAACTACATCTTACACTCAGAAGCGAGCATGTTACCCACCGGCTAATGCCACTGCCTTTCACCCTAAAAGCAGCCAGGCTGGTATCCAGTACGTTGCTTAGGGGCATCAGGTGACCCCACACTACTCACTACACTCTAGAGTTGGCCAAACCAGTGCTTACAACCTGCCTGCATTTCTTTTTCTTTTTCTTGTAAACTGAGTCTCGCTTTGTTGCCCAGACTGCAGTGCAGTGACACGATCTCGGCTCACTGCAACCTCTGTCTCCTGGGTTCAAGCGATTCTCCTGCCTCAGCCTCCGGAGTAGCTAGGATTACAGGCACATGTGCCACCACGCCCAGCTAATTTTGTATTTTTAGTAGAGACGGGGCTTCGCCATGTTGGCCAGGCTGATTTTGAACTCCTGATCTCAGGCAATCTGCCTGCCTCGGCCTCTCAAAGTGCTGGGATTACAGGCGTGAGCCACTTCACCTGGCGCTGCCTGCATTTCTTGTGCCACCCAAGGCATCATGAGCTGATAAGTAAGACATTAAAGTGGCATCTTGAGAGGCTGCTTTCCCAAATGGGAACCCACCCTGGCTTCACTTGAGAGAATTCAGAACTAACCATTTAGAGCATTAATCATGTTATCTGAAGGGAACCAACTCTAGCCCCACATGCTACTCATTTTAAGGATCTGATGCTATAAATCTACACATGTATCTGCCATCTTACCCTCATTTCAGCCATCAGTTGGAGAAGCAGCATTTCAGTCTTTAGGAGATTAATCTGATGTCAGTAATAACCAGAACTTCCTCTGCAATAATCCCTCTGCTGAGGCCGGAGCTCCTCATATGAGGCCTCTGGATCCCTGAGAGTCCGTGAATGGGTTTTAGAGGGTCCTTATATCCCCTAAGCCTCTGCGGCAAATGTTCACGTCCCTGTATGAGAAAGTCTTTGGCTCTCATTACATCGTCAAACGAATCCGTGACCAAAAATAGTGATTAGGAAACATTGCTCCAGAGCATAAGCCAATCAGTCCATTAAAAACCCTGTTAGGTGGGGAATAGAATAGTCAGCGCGTGCTTGTAGAAAGAGGTCTGATTTCAAGTGTTAGACCCTTGCACATCCAACAGACCCTGTGAGTTGCGCCTCCAGTGTTAAGATGGGTCGTTAACTTATCCTCGATTTACCACACCATGTCTCGAGAGATTAGAGGCCCTGATGATGGGGAATGTGAGTAAAGTAAAATAATCATCTCCACCGTAAGAAGAGCACGAGACATTGAAGGCTATTTGAAAGCTATTACAATCACTAAATTTCCAAAGCCAGGTGAAGCAGATAATCTCAGAACCGTGGCTACTGCGATGTCATTCACTTTCATATGTTTATTTTGTGATATAAGGTTGTTATGGCATAAGTCTAATTGTTATGACTATTTTGAGTGCTCAGTTCTGTATATAAAATACTACATTTCATCAAAAAATATACTTTCTTTTCTTCTTTAACATAATGTTATCATACAGTAAGGTCCAGAGTGTTTTCTGTCCATAGCTCTCCCATATTCTACTACGGGTTTAACAACCACCTCTCTATGGCCGGAAAGAGACTGTTTATGGGCCCCAGACTCTCCCCATGACCTTCCTTCTCTGTGCTCGTAGTTCCCCTGGCCATGGCTACTTTTAATTTGTTCAGATGCCGGACAAAACTGTTTAACTATGGAAGAGAATTTTGTGCCACAAACTATATTCCTTTAAGGAATATCATAAGTACAGCTTCCTGTTTTGTGCTGTTTGTTTCTATAACAAATAAAATAACTTGTCCCTCTGGGCTTTCTCTGTTTTCATTCTCCTTTTATATTATAAGTCCTTCAATTCTGAGCCTTTAAGTAACCACTTCACCCACAATACACACACACACACACACTCTCACACACTCACAGATATACCTTCCCTGGACAAAACCAAACTGTTACCTTTATTCCACTAGTGTTTCTCAAAGTGTAATCTTCAGGTAATTCACATCGGAGTCTTCAGAGGGTGGGAGGATTTGTTAAAAATGCATATTCCTGCCAACGTCCAGACCAACCGCATCAGAATGCATGGAGATGGAACCTGGATGCTAAATTAGTTAACTCTACCCCCACTCATCCAGGTGATTCTCAAACACACTAAAACGAACCGGCCAGGCGCGGTGGCTCACGCCTGTCTGTAATCCCAGCACTTTGGGTGGCCAAGGCGGGCGGATCATGAGATCAGGAGATCGAGACCATCCTGGCTAACATGGTGAAACTCCGTCTCTACTAAAAATACAAAAAATTAGCCAGGCGAGGTGGCGGGCGCCTGTAGTCCCACCTACTCGGGAGGCTGAGGCAGGAGAATGGCGTGAACCCGGGAGGCGGAGCTTGCAGTGAGCTGAGATCCCGCAACTGCGCTCCAGCCTGGGCGACAGAGTGAGACTCCGTCTCAAAAAATAATAAATAAATAATAAATAAATAAATAAAACTTGAGAACCGTTGCTTTACAAAAATCACTTCCTCTCTGGTTTCAGCCCCTATTTTTTTCGGGTCAAAATGGAGCTATTTTCTTACCCATCTTGTTTACCTCTGAGATCAGCATCTCATGGTCTCTTCCTAAGAAACCTTCTTTCCCCCGTCTCTCTGGCCTTTGATGGTAGCTTTTCTCTGGGCTATTTCTCAGGCCTTGCAGTCTACTTTAGCAAGTCCTCAGGACACAGTTACTTACTTCTTCCTCCTCCTTAAGCTGCTCTAAAGAAACCCCTTTAGCATCCACAGCTCACACTGCCCAGCTCCAAACTCCCTTTACAATACCCTGCCCAGGGATTCACAGTAACATCGATTGGTTAAAGGTAAGCCCCATATGGTTCACAAAACTCATAGCCTTCCTCCTAAATATTACAACTACTCAAGATCACTTATTAACAGGGGTTCTCCAAATTTCTTAAATGCACACACCACGACCACAATAAACGAAATAAAAACAAGTTCTCCTATTTCACCATTCTAACATACCAAATGCTGTCATTTTTTTTTACAGCTCACATTTAATTTTTATTCATAACAAAATCAGAACGTAATTAAAAATTTTAATTCTGCTTTCCTAACCTAATATCATATCAAATATATTTTCATAACTGTCATAACTATGATTTTTAATGACTTTAAAACAACCCACTGGCTGTGCTCAGTGACGTGCCTGTAATCCTAGCACTTTGGGAGGCCGAGGCAGGAGGATCACTTGATCCCAGGAGATGGAGACCAGCCTGGGCAACAAAGTGAGACCCCGTCTCTACAAAAAATAAAAGGTTAGCCAAGTGTGATGGCACACACCTGTGGTCCCAGCTACTTGGGAGGCTAAGGCAGGAGGATCAAATGAGCACAGGAGGTCAAGGCTGCAGTCAGCTGTGATTACACCACTGCACTCCAGCCTGGGTGACAAAACAAGACCCTGTCTTTAAAAAAAAAAAAAAATCTCATGGAGTTAATGTTGCCAGAGCCCCTATTGCTTAGTGTTTAGGTTATTTTCAGATTTTGCTGCTATACGTGATAATACGATGAATATGTTCATGCATTTTATTTCTTTCTTCTTTGAATTATTTATTCAGAATAAATTTGCAGGGGTGGAATGAATGGATCAAAGTGTATGAACACTTTAATGGCTCTTGGTACATATTGTCAAATCGCCATATTTGTATTTTACACAGTTCCTCAGTAGTATGCTAGTAAATGTTTAACAACATGCTTGCCCCCCCGCGCCCCGAAAAAAAAAAAAGGTAGGGAGCCTGATTTACTGTGTTTGCTGATTTTCACAGTGTAAATACTTTTACCATAGCCAATTTCAAGCCACCAACATGACATCGCTGAATGCAAAATTGAAAAGAGATGCTCAGATAGCACATTATAATACAGCATTTCCATAATACAGATAAAGAGAAGTCAGTAACTTCAGTGGCTTGGAAAATTTCTGAAAATATGACAATCAGCACTTGTAAGCGAGCCTGTTCTAGAACACCACTGTAAACATCTCCCTTGATATTTTGCAAGAGCACATCTTTTTTTTTTTTTTAATTGAAATCATTGAAATTTCACCCTGTTCCCATCTGTGTGACAAACAATGAGCATGCTTTTAGGTCCACAGATGATCCAAATAATGAACAAAATCTAATGCAAAAAAAGGGGGATAGAGTGAACATCTAATGCCTATCTGGGTTGAATAATTCCGTCTACCCACCCTCAAGCATTCATTTTACGGTGTTTTTTCCGTGAGATCATGTATACAAACGATTCGATCATTTGTTTACTTAACGAGGCACTGAATGGATGACTGTATGTAGTTCTCAGGCAAATGTGATGAGACCCGTATCTTCTGTTTCTTAACCACTCTCTTCCTTGGTTTTCTTTTCTACGAAATGAGGAAGAGGTCACTGTGACTTCTGTCTTACGAGAAACTGAGTGCAGAGATAAGAAAGGTTCAACTTATGCTCTAAGAAACACTTGAACATTTAGCAATGCTCTGGAAATTTCTTCCAAAAGCAATTCATTAGCATTCTATTTTACCAGAAAAGAATGTGATTTGGCACTTTCTTGCTTGAAAGCAGCTTCCCCTCTTTGGACTGCCCCGGAATAATATGTAGCTTCTAGATGTATACAACACTTTGGTTTTTAAATTAGTGGCGCCCTATGTTTGCATGTTAAAAGGTAGGTATGACTGAGCTAAACATCCTCACACCTTTGACCCAGTCACCCCACTCCCAGTAACTCATCTCAAGGAATAAATTCAAAACAAAGGAAAATACTTTCCGTGTAAAAATATTAATCACAATAGAGAATAGATCAATTTGCCTCATTTCAGCACTGTTCAACTTACAGCTTCTGGGGCCCTGGTAGGAGAGTTCTGGATTCCTGGTTCCTAAATCCCCACCTGTAAAACGACCACTTTCCAAGTTGTTTTAGGGCTTGCATTTTTTAATCACACAGATTCCCGGATCTCACATGAGGGGTGGGATATGAGACATGGAATTTCAGTTTCTTAAAAGCTCCCCAAGTGGTTTTGCTGTCCAGCCAGCTTTAGAAACCACTATTCCACACTGAAACAGCAGACACATGATCATTATCGCTGAACAACTGTCCACATCCCGGCAACAGCATGAGAACTTCTTGTGCAAGTCGTCAAAAGGTTGTTCAGGGCATTCAAGCAGTTGCTAGAGTCAAACGGCTACAGAGCCACGGAGGAGCCCTAAGTTTCAGGCACCCTACCACCCCCCTGGGTCATCCTTTCCATCTCTGACACCCTCCTTGCTCTCAGTGCCCACCCCAGCCCCCCACTCTGTCATGCTGCCTCCCAGCCTCCACCTGTGCACCCCATCCTGACTTGTGCCCATCCCTTTTCATACACAAAGCTCCAGAGTCTCCTCCCTTAGGACACCAGTGGGACTCTAGAAGGAACACTACCACCGTTTGACTCAAGTCATCTGCGCACATAATTAGGAATCCCCTGCACAATTAACACACCAGGTGGATTTCCATTTTTTATAGGAGGCTTTTAATCCAAAAAATATTTATAACCTAGAGAGTGGAATGGGGAAGCAGGATGCTTTTTAATCTTGGCTTTCACCTAGATCCAAGCATCCTGAACCCAAATAAGCACTTAATGCCACAACGATCCCCACTCGTAAGTAGAAATGGAATTTTAGTTGTGCTTTGTTAGCACCAAAATTAACACATTGTAAGATAGAATAATTTAATTTAAACTGGGCAAGGAAGAAAGGTCGTGCTCTCTGCCTCTAATGAAAATCACCTCTAGAATTCCACCCAAGCATTCAGAGAGCAACATCAAACAAGGAGGCCCACAAGTAATGCAGCAGCTACTCAGAGGACCTCTCTCATAAGCTAGAGAAACTGTTACAGAAAGGCTTAAAATAGCAGTTTCCAAGCTTGTTTTCCTTTCTTCATATGTATTCCCACTAGAAAAACATCCAACCCTGTGCCTTGTCCATATTTGGTGCTCAAAAAATGTTAATTCCCAGTCTCCACCTGTCACCCCCCACTTTCCCTGGAAAGGAATGTTGGGATTAGGAGAACGTTGGGATTTGCAGGCTTCTTGCTCTTAAGCCAGGGCTCATAACACCTTCATTTATGTCAATAGCCAAGTCCTTAAGAAGAATCATAAGCGTTGTATCTATTGAGAGATTTTTTTTTAATTAGGCACTAGGCTACATGCTTTACATGTTTTTATCTCATTTGATCTCTGCTACAACTCTCTGAGGTAGGTATTTTCAGTTATTATTAGTGTTATTTGAGTTATTTTGTGAATTTTTTTAAAAACTCTGAGCACTGAAGAAGTGAAGTAACTTGTCTAAGGTTCCCACAGCCCAGAAATGATGGAATGGGGATTCAATGCAAAGCGATCCGGTTCAAAAGTTGGGTTCTTATTCACCATGCTGTATGTTTGTTATTAAATGGGTTCAGATATTTTATGGTCCAGAAAAATGGTGTCTGAATTATTACGATCTACTGACTCTCTAAACAACATCCAGAAAAAGAACAGAAGCATACCCGTGCCATCTCATTTAGACATGCAAAGAAAGTAACACGTATTTCATGGAATTTGGGGACTGGCTTTTGAGGAATAGAGACTTGCTTATCATTCATCAACCAACTCGTCCTCCCAAGAGGAAGACCACTTTAATTCCCGGATAATTGAAAGGCCTCCTTAAAATGTAGAAACCAGAGGTGGAGGTCTTACCTGTACCCTGAGCCACACGAACCTTTCTCTGCGTAAATGATGTCCCAAGGGAAGACAGTAGAGGGCAAATGGAGGCCCACAGTCAGGTGTACAGATGCAGAAAGCAGCCCCAGTGGGAAGAGGCCACACTCGACAAGCTTCCTCTCACGTGGAATTCTGCTAGTGCCATGAGAGCCGAGGAGGCGCAGCCCAGGGCAGAGGGAGACCAGTGACTATTGAATGGGGTCACTTCTCCCCAGTGCCTGCAAGGTCCTCCCTTTTGCGTCCACACCCTAACCGTCTAATCTGATTTCCTGCAATGTGTAAAACAAACTATCTTCTCTTCTCCAGTGTCTCTTCAACTGGCCTTATCATCTCCACGTCAGCCTCGCCTTTGTGCCTTTGCCCACAAGGTCCTCCTAGTCTGAAATCACCTTCCCCTTCTTCTTCTACCAACACTTCGCATCCTTTCAAAGCCCAGATCTTCCCGACAACTCCAGTTTGCCCCCAGACCACCTCCACAGAATTCACAGAACTCTTCAAGCCTGTGCTCCCCACTCATCACTGAATTCTCATCTTGCACTGCTTCCTAAATTTTACTTCTTATCACGACTACTAGATTATACGGCCCTTCGAAGTAGAGATTTTAAAAATATTTTTCTTATATCCTCCACAGCACCAGCTTAGAACCAGTAAGGGATCACCAACTACTTGTTGCCTGCTTGAATACTTCAATGGTAACTTTCATTTAGTAAAGCACCTAAAACCGGTGATTTCCCAAACTTTGTTTAGTTACAACTCAGGCTACTGACTGGTACCTCACAGCATATCTCCAAATCAAACCACCTCAGAAGAAAAATTTAATTTAATTAAAAACTACATGTTATACATCACAGAGCACTTTTGGGAAATGGACATTAGCATTGGCAAGAGGTGAAAAACACAAGCTAGAAGTTCCAGATTGAAATCTACATCATTTAGAATTTTGGTTCTGTTTCATTTCTGAACTAGACAACTTTAAAGTTCAGATTTGCACAACTTAGTCTTTAGATTTACTTCATCAAACCTTGGGTAGTATTTAAACTACCCATACAGTTGAGCCCAGCCACAGTCAGTCACAAGCATATGCATTCTCTAGAATATCTGGAAAATCAAAAAGCCAACGACTGTAACTTTTAATGTTTCAAAAATCTTGTTAGGACTGTGGTGAGGGGCAGTGAATATCAAAGCAACACCCCCCGTCCGTCCCACTATGAATTGGTTCTACACCTTACAGCAGGTAGATCAGAGTGGTTACAACGTTTGGCCTAGAGTAAAAGCTAAACAAAATTAGAAAAATTTCTTTTGACACCAAAGAAATACTTTCAAAGAAGCAAAATCCTTACCTGTTGCAGAACGCCGAAGGAATTTCTTGACAGTAAAATGACTGACTCCAGAAATCAAATTTGTTCAGCAAAAGGATGTGAAAACAAAAGCGGCCCAAGCCTTTTCACTGTGGTTGATTTCCTCCTAGGATTAACCTCTCCCTCGCTCCCGAGAACATTAACTGGTTCACACTAGAAGAACTGAAAATACAAGAGTTGGGCTGGCAGGGAGTCCACCCCAAGATGGCTGGGTTTAGTGTGCGTGAGGCAGCAGGAGCAATCCGAATGTGACAAAAGAGATTAGCAAGTTCCTGTGCCTAAGTCAGTTTCCTGTAGCCGGCTTCTCCGCAGAGGGGGTTTCATTTGTGTGGGTTTAGGGGGGTGTGTGTGCACGTGCGTTTCTCTCCATTAGAATATGAAACTTCCCCAGATCAGAGGCAGAATAAGGCCTTTGCTGCACCGCTGGGTTTGCGTTGAATTTATCTCCCACCCCACTCCGAGACTGTATTTCTCTCCCGCTTCGCCCCATTTTCCTCCAGCAAAGCCCTACGTAAAACTGAAGAATGGAAGACCGAAGAGTCCAAATGATTCCTCATGGAAGTAAAATTACAAAAAAAAAAAAAGTCCATGCCACTGATCCGTCTTGGTTAATCCGAGCTTAGGAAACAGCACCTTAGAACCTTCCTCACATCAGCTCGGGGAAAACAGGAGATGGGTTGTCTGCCTTGCTTTGCTGCATTAAAAACTATCAAATAATATTTTGCAAAGAACAGGCTTAGTAAGAGTTCAAGCAGCCCCCGCCGTGCGTTCACCCCTGTGTGGATGGGCACCTGGGCTGGGAGGTACCTGGCGATGAGTTGCTTTTTCAGACTCCTCAGAGTTTCGTTATTTGCCTAAAAACACAAGTTTACTTGTTTTGTCCTAATGGGCAATCCAGGTGTAGAGACCATCTGCAACTACTCAGGTTACGGCTAAACGCCTAACCCAACAAATGGAACTTTCGTGATGTGGTCACACCCCCCTGTGCCCCAAATCCCTGACTAACTGTTGATGCTACTGCTCACGGTGATAGCTTGGTCAAAATACCTGACCGCCATAAGGATAAAATCAACTCCATGCCTTTTATTTTATTTTATCAGTGCATCGGCCCCACACTCAAAGATTTGAGTTTAATTGGGCTGGGTGGGGACCGGACATCAATATTATTTTAAACTCCTCTGATTATTCTAAAGTGCTGCTGCCACTCTAATGGATGAGAAGGAGGAAAGAACATTCCAAGCAGAGGCGAACAGTACATGCAAAGGCCCTGAGGTAGGAAAGAAGTTGGCATGTTCAAAGAAGTGAAAGCAGATGAGTGTGCTTGCAGCACAGTTGTAGAGGGAATCAATGGTACGAGGTGAGCATTCTTATCAATAGACACACAATTACCAAGTTCACAAGACTTTCGTATGAACCCAAGTGTCAATTTGTTGATGCATAGTAAGAACTCAATCTGCCAGCTGAGATCCTTGAGCCTTCTGAAGAGCACATTATCTCCTAGAAAATCCTCTGTGGGAGGCCAGGTGCGGTGGTGGTGGCTCACACCTGTAATGCTAGCACTTTGGGAGGCCAAGGGGGGAAGCATTGCTTGAACCTAGGAGTTTGAGACCAGCCTGGGCAACATAGTGAGATCCCATCTCTACAAAAATATAAAAATTAGCTGGGAAACCACACCTGTAGTCCCAGCTACTCAGGAGTCCAAGGCAGGATTGCTTGAACCCATGAGGTTGAGGTTGCAGTGAGCTGCGATCCACCACCACACTCCAGCCTGGGGACACAGCAAGACTCTGTCTCAAAAAGAGAGAGAGAGAGAGAGAGAGAGAGAGGAGAGAGAGAGACAGAAGAAGGGAAGGGCAGGGAGGGAAGGGAAGAAAGAAAAGAAAGAAAGGAAAGAAAGGGAAAATCCTCTGTGGAAAGCCAGATCACCATGGTGATGTTATCCACTGAGCAGAACATAAGCTTGTGGACACTTTATTTACTTCTGGTTTTGTTCATCAAAGGATTTAGAGCATCTTGCAAAAATACTTACACCTGAGCAAAATGAAACAATTAAAAACAAGAAATATGAAAACGAGGCCAAGAGAAGTGGAGACAAAAGCGACACTAAAACGGGGGGTAAGGTTAATTACAGAGAATGTATGCCATGTGGCTCTACGCTCTTCAGCAACGGGTATGAAGGAGGAACTACCACCACACAGAAAAGTCTTTGCCCACGGGAGAAACATAAACAAAGAGCTCAGAACCATGAGGCCTCCCTGGCTCCCCAGTGCTGAGATTAAAGAGGAACTCTGCCCCCTGGATTCCCATAGAGAGACAACATGGCTGAAGTGAAACACCATGTTTAGACTCCACGCCGCCAGCCACAAGTCTGTGAGGTGGTTCCTTACACTTTTCCTCCATGTATGCTGATTGCATCTCACCAAAGAGTTCACTAAAAGCAACTCCAGGGCGTGCGGCGGGGAGAGTGCAGCAGGATATGAACAGAGTGCGCCACGCCACAACACCGCTTTGATGTTCCAGTTTTATCCAGAGATGAAAAATGACTTCATGGGCCGGGCACAGTGGCTCATGCCTATAATCCCCACACGTTGGGAGGCCGAGGCAGGCGAATTGTTTGAGCCAGGAGTCCAAGACCAGCCTGAGCAATATAGCGAGACCCAGTCTCTAAAATAATAATAATAATAGGCAGAGTGCGGTGGCTCACGCCTATAATCCCAAAACTTTGGGAGGCCAAGGAGGGCAGATCGCTTGAGGTCAGGATTTCGAGACCAGCCTGGTCAACATGGTGAAACCCCATCTCTACTAAAAATACAAAAATTAGCCGGGCATGGTGGTGCATTCCTGCAATCCCAGCTACTCAAGAGGCTGAGGCAGGAAAATTGCTTGAACCCGGCAGGCAGAGGTTGCAGTGAGCTGAGATCACACCACTGCACTCCAGCCTGGGCAACAGAGTGAGACTTCAGCCTAAATAATAATACTAATAATAATAATAAAGAAAAATGATTTCAGATATGCTTCAGAAAATTCAGGATAAAAAGTTTGTCTCATTCAAGTTTCTAAAAGATTTAAAGAGGCAAAGAGTTCAAAACTGGTTGCCCCTCCAACAAGAGATCCAGTGTCCTTTAAGGGGGACACTGTCTCCCCTTCAGAAAGCAGAGGAGTCACACAAGGACAGCTTCCTGTACGGACAGACCCCCTCCATCTCCTAAGTAGAAAGGGAGGTGAGGCTCTGCCCTTTGGGAAACAAAGCTAGAAACGCCACCAGCATGATTTATCACGAGCTCCAGGCCTCAGGCCTTGTACCATTTTCTGCACGAAAGTGGAGACGTACTCCAGAGTCGGGATGGACTGGGTGTCCTCAGGCACAAGCACTCCCATCCCATCCTGGAAGGGACTAGGAAGGGCACTGTCGTGCCTGTCCCTTTCACCCCATGGCTGACCACCGTTCTGCTTCTGAAGAACTGGCTTTCTGTGCCTGGAATTGCCAGTTTTAGATGATCTGGTACAGTCCAGCACTGGGCTTCCTCCTACTCCTGACTTACACGCCTCTGATCTTCACACAGTTTAATCTCAGAGAGGATTTTCTTAGACAGAGGGGACAGGGGGTCGCCATCTAATTTTCTTCCTTTCTTGAAAATGTCTTTTTGGTGTCTCTCTCTCTCCCCACTCCCCTCCTCCCCCACCCCGCCCCTCCTCTCCTCTCTCTCTCTCTCGTTCTCATTCTTTTAACAGACTTTTAACCGACAGGGGTAGTGGTGAGAGGAGGAAGCAAACGCTGAAAATACATGCACACATTCACAGACACACACGCACCCGAGCCCCACAGCGTGTCCCTTCTGATGCTGTGTGGTCCGTCCTTGGGATGGGGTAGGGGGAAATCCTGGGGACTTCAGAGTGGCAGGAGGAAGGAAATCATGGGTCCGCAGTCCCTAACTGGGACTCAGAGGCCCCCTCTGAGCCATCTTCCAGGAAGCCATCTGCAGCCACCACCCACCTCCCCTGCAAGCCCAGTGAGGTGCCCTCCCAGGGGCTTCACAGCACGTTGTGTTAACACGGCCGGAGCACTCACCAAACGGCCCTGTGGTGTTCACTTCAGAGGTCCCAGGGCTCGGGGTCCAGCCTTGCTCACTCAGAAATCCCAGGCACCGAACAGTCATTTAATAACCGCTTTCTGACCAGTAGATTGATTCTCCCATCTCACAGCCTCACAGCTGCCCTTTACAGTAAACACTTTAAACCCTATTTTAACAGCCAAGGAAACAGAGACTTCAATTGGTTAAATGATTTGCATAAGACCCTATGGCCTACGAAAACCAGAACCAAGATTCACCCCATTCATCTGTCCTGGCCGGTCACTCCCGCTGCCTCCCCACAGAGAGAACTGAATCAGCGCGGGCAAGGAGGAGCAGCCAGAGCCCCGAGGCCCAAGGCCCATTTTCTTGGCCCTAAACATGCCCCCTCCAGGATTCTGTGTGCAAACGGTCCCAGTCAGGTCAAGGTGAAAAAGCAAAGACTTACTTTCTCAAAACCACCTGCATCAGAAATGTTCTCTGACATGGCAAAAGAACAGCTTACTTTTACTTTAATAGTCTCCTGTGAACAAAGACCTCTTTTACTGAGGTTTTTAAAATAATATGACAACTACCTGTGTACCCTGAACTCATGCATAAGCACTATGTTTGCTCATTGCAAAGCTGTTATGCCACTTACACCAGCGAAAACTCTTAATGACAATTGTAATTGTATGAACAGTAAATCTTAGAAACCTTGAGACATGATTCATCTACTAAATAATTTCAACGCTGGGTTAGTGAGATGCCTTTGCCTCCCCCTTGCTATTAGCATATTAACTGAAATGATTTAGATTCAGCGGGTAGCTTTTAATGTTTACACAGACCCTCATTTATGCCACCTAATAAAATATTTCAGTGAGTTGTGAAGATAGGTAATATGTACTAAAACCTTGTCTGAAGGC